GGGCAGCCTGCCTCGGGCAGGCCAGTTGCCTTAATTGGGAGCCGGGTGGGTGTTCTCCAGGAATCCAAGTGGATTCAGATTCAGGACACAGCAGCGGAGAAGACTCTGCTCCTGGGGCGCAGCAGGATGGCCGTACTCAACCTGTTCCAGCTAGTGTGCCAGCATCAGGGGCAGCCGCCTGCACTGGACATTGAGGACACAGAGGGGCAGCTAGAGCAGGTAAGGCCCCCTCTGTATGGCACCTCCAGCCCCCAAGCTATCCCTCTTTGGAAAAATCAGGTACCTAAAACCCCACAGTTAGTGACACCTTTTCTGGGTTAAGCATGGCCCTCTTAAGAGGTCAGAGTCCTTTCCCCAGGGCCGTGGGCTGGATCGCTGCGCAGGCACCCAGCCTAGGATGGATTCCTGGGTGCATCTTTGCTCTGACAGTGATTGGCTGTGTGGCCAGAAGAAAACCATGCCCTTCTCTGCGTCTCAGTGCGCTTCCTCTACTAGGAAGGCCAGGGTTTGTACTGGCTCCATCTTTTCTCCCAGGATCCAACAGCCCACACATGTGGTAACACCTGAACAAACCAGCAGGTCCAGACTCACTCTTTAATCTCTGGCCTTCTGGCTCCCTCCTCCCTGTGCAGAGAACCTCAGCTTCCCCAGGGAGGGTGAGGGGAGGGTGAGGCTGAGTTGTGCAGTACAGAATATGACATAGGGTTTTTTTCTGTTTTTGAGACGGAGTCTCGCTCTGTCACCCAGGCTGGAGTGCAGTGACACCATCTCGGCTCACTGCAACCTCTGCCTCCCAGGTTCAACTGTTCTCCTGCCTCAGCCTCCTGAGTAGCCGGGATTTTACAGGCACACGCCTCCACGCCCACCTAATTTTTTGTATTTTTAGTAGAGACAGGGTTTCACTGTGTTAGCCAGGATGGACGCTATCTCCTGACCTCGTGATCCACTCGCTTCGGCCTCCCAAACTGCTGGGATTACAGGCGTGAGCCACTGCGCCTGGCCAGTCCCTTTTCTTTCAGTCCAACTGAAGTAGCTGGACATTAACAAGGAACAAAATCAGTAACTGGTTGTAATTAATTAGTTGTAAACACCACTGCACTAGGACCAGACCATCTCTTTTCAAAATCAACTCTGCCCCTGTCAAGGAGAAAGGCTCCCTGGAGGGACGCTGTGCTTTTTCCCACCTCCCCTAACACTCCCCGGCCTCGGCCGGGACTCACACTGCTCTGCGGCTGCTGGAATTCAGTAACAGCTTCATTTGTCCACTGCATTTTCATTATTTTCAAGTACCCCCTAGTTATGACAAGGGGTAACTACTTCTTTCCATTTTTGGAGAAACAATTTCCTTCTGTTGATAGGGTGATAAATATGAGGGGGAGCCCACAGATAGCTGTATGTTCACCCTCAAGTTCTAGTTTTCACAATGGATCCGTGGCGTTTATTAAGTTGATATCCATAAAGAATTAAACAAAATAAAGGAGGGTCACCCATGGAGAAGATGAGAGTAAGTCACAAACCAATGAATACGACTGATCCAATTAAAAGAAAATAAAGCTGACTGATGTAAATGAAAATACTAATTGGATGGTGCAGGTGACAGCAGCTAGGAAGCTGAGGTGTCTGCTCATGTGGCAATTGGGAAGGCTGGCCTGAGGCTTTTAAAACCCAGAACAGTTTAGGATCTGTCACTGCCTCTGGGAACCACCATCATTGCTATTCTTTCAGTGAGGGGGTCTCCAGTCCCCACCCTGCCTTTCGGCCTCCCCACATGTTGAGGGGTAGGGGCTGGACAGTGGCTTTTGGGCTGAAGTGTGACTTCGTGTTGGGGTCCCCCAGGTGAAGCTGTTCATGCAAGACCTCTCCGCCATGCTGGCAGGCCTGGGTCAGACTGAGCCTGCAGCCCCTGCCTCCTAGCCCAGACCCAGGTGAGCAGCGGGAGAGGGGACCCCCGAGAGACCCCAGGATAGGAGGGCGCCGCATTTCCGATGGGGTGGGACAGGGTGGTTCTTCCTGAATCTGTTTCCTCATTGGGAAGATGGGAGGGCTGTGCCTGTTCAGAGTGCTGTGGGCCTGCCATGAGAGGCACATAACAAGTATTCAATAAATGCAGGTCCACACAGCAAGCACTCAATAAATTCAGGCCCTGATGAGGAGGTGATGGGGGGGTCAATGGGCTATGTGTGGGGCAATTGTCTCTAAAATGAGACCAGACCAGGCCCTCCCTCCCAAGGTGGCGGGGGCATGAAAAAGGCTCTTTGTCAGGTCTCAGAACAGGGTCCATGCTAGATAAGAGCTCACGAAGACCTCTCCACTGTGTACTCTGCCAGCTGAGGGGCCCAGCCTGAGAATCTAGCACGTGGGGCCGCCCTTGACCTTCTCAGAACCTTGAATGGGGTGGGAGGTGAGAGGGCAGGCCAGGTTCTGACCTCCAGGTGTGGAGGGCCTGAGTTAACCTCTTCATAGCCAGAGGGGAGCAGCATGCCCTTGCCTCCAGGCTGTGCATCCTGTTCCCCTCCCGCAGCCCATTCCAGCTGCAAGGAAGCAGGTGGGAGGAAGGGGGACAAACTCCCACCTCTGGCACCTGGCTTGTGCTCTGAGCCTCACTTTCCTCATTGCCAAATGGACACAGCCGCAGAACCCCACCTTGGGAGGCCCTGGATATGCTCTCAATTCCTCCTCTGCCACATTAGTTGGGATTTTAGTACCCAGGTCTCTCCATTCCAACTCCCCAAGTAGATCACACTCTGGCCCACCAGCAGTACTCAGTAAAGATTTATTACATTAAAAATGCCATCACCAAAGCCTGAGGCACTCAGGGCTCTGACCGGTGCAGCCATGACCTCTGAAGCCAGAACACATGGAAGCAGCAGCAGCTGAGTTGCCAACTCAGGTCTTGGCCTGCCTGGCTTTGCTGGCGAACTCCTACACATGCTTCAAGGCCCTGCTCAAATGTCTCTGTCTTAGGCTGACGTAGCTGCTGCCCTTCTGTGGCCATACAGCGCTCCTTTTCAGGGATGATGGCTCCTGCAGGGAGTACCCCCAGTGCCCGGCACAAGGCCAGGCACGCAGTGGTGCACAGGAACGTCTGCTGATGTCCACTCTAAGGCCAACCAAGGAACCACGGGGCTCGGTCCTGGTCCTCACATCCTCTTTCGCATCTTGCCCTTCTTGGAGCGGGCACCCCGGCCGAAGGCACCCTGCTGCAGCTCCTGGGCACGGCGGCGGTTGCGAGCGGAGAGCTGCTTGAGGCCACCACGCTGCAGGAAGCGCAGCTTCTGGGCCCGGCGCCGCTGCTTCAGGATCTGCTGCTTGGTCTTGAGTTCCGGGCGGACACGGCCTGCAGGGGTGCCTGGGGCACGGGGCTGGGATGCACCTGCTGGGACAGGGATTCAGGGAGCTCAGGTGGTGGGATCACTCCCAAGATCCCCTCCTCCCAGAAGCTCGCAGACTCCTTCCCGGCCCCAATCCTGTTCTGTGCTTATTGCTGTGGCCCAGTAGGTGGCTAACAAAGCTTTAGGGAGCCCCACGGAGTGCTCAATAGCACAGGGCCAGAACCGCGGGGTTCAAATCCCAGCTGTAACCTCTTAGACCTTGGGCAAGTCAGTTAGTGTCTCCACGCCTCAGTTTCCCCATCTGTGAATGAAAAATCACAGCATCTCCCTCATGGGTGAAAAATAAATGGTATAAAGTGCTCAGAACAAGGCCTGGCCCACGGTGAGAGCCTTCTGGGCATGACTGTTACTGCTGAGAATTCTCCAATCCAGGCGTGTCTGTTTCCACAGCACACCTACTACACGCTGGGCTCTGAGGCCCCCATAGTAACCAAGACAGACCTCAGCCTCTGTCTCCATGGACAGCATGCTCTAGGCTTGTTAGATGCAAAAAGGGTGTAGATGAACCTTCCTTTAGGCGGGAGAGGAATCAGAGGCGGCCAGAGAGGGAAAGGGACTTGTCTGAGGTCACACAGCAAAGCAGCAGCAGTGGAGGTCAGCAGCCCTGCCCCAGCCCCAGGTAGTCCATTCTTCTAGTTCTCCGGGAGGCAAGCACCACCCTCCCTGGCTCCCACTAAGCCCTGTGTCTTCCTCCTCCTCCCCATTCACAATAGCAGCCTCTCCAGGGCTCCTGGAGGGATGACCACTGGGGTGGTCCCAGCTGTCTCCATTGGAGCCAGGGTGCCTCGCAGGACCTATCACCTCCAACGAGGACACAGTGCAGGGAAGAACAGCTGCTTTCTCCCAAAGCCCAGAGGTCGCTGTCGCTCCCACCTCCCCAGGCCCTGCCCGCCCACTGCGTGGCACTGCTTGCAGCAGAAGCTGCTGTTTCACCCAGGTAAAAACAGGCTGAGAAGTGAGGTGTGGGTGGTCCCCACCCAGCCACGCTGACAAGGAGACATTCCCACAGATGGGAGAGCTGGAGGGGGAGAAGCCACAGAGAAGAGGCCCAGGCGAATGCATGCAGGTTCAGAGACACCCAGAGGAGGCGGTGACCAGCCCCGGGGAGTGGAGTGACACAAGCAGGGGCAAAGGCAATCTGAGAGACCCAGGACATGGTCCCAAACTCCCTTCTCCCCAGGGAAGGCTGCAGGTGGGAGGCTTGGGCAGCTGGGTGACCCAGGTTCAGTCACAGCCCCCATAAAGCACCTGTTTCCTGGCCTGTCAAGTGGGTATTCGCAGTCACCTTGCCTCCCAGGTCATGTGTGACCTGTCCACACCCAGCAAGTGGGAGCCCCTCCCTGACAGCAGCCCTTAAGCACAGGCTCTGGCAGACAGAGCCAACTTCAAATCCATCTTAGCCTGTTACTGGCTGAGGGACCCAGGCCAGATCAAAGAGGTCCAAGTCCTCAGATGACCAAATGTACCACTTGCCAACCCACATTTCAAGACAGCACCTTCCTCAACATCTTCCGTCATTGCCTCCTCCCAGAACCAAAGCTGCCTCTGACTGCATCTTTGGTGACATGAACTTCCCCACAACACTGATAAAAAGAACGTCACTCCCGAGGATGCCACAGGGAATCAATTCATGCTCACTTTGTCAGGTCGAACCACATGCAAATGCTATTTTTGCAGGTGAAAAAGGCCCACATAGCAGCATTCGCACAGGTTCCACCTCCCGAGTTCTCTAGGTTTCTAGACAACGAGGTGAATTAGGTGAACAGGGCATCTAACAGAAATTACCCCCATGGCTTCATCTGCGAAGTGGAAGGGGTTGGGGATAATGTGTCTGAGGGACACGGTACTTTCCAGCGCCTGCGAGGCGGTGCTCGTGACCATCAGAGGCCGGGACAGCAGAAAGGGGAATCTGTGGGGGTGGGGTGGGGGATCATGGGGGGACCCAGGGTTTTGGCAGTGTACCCCAACGCACCCAGCTCTGGGGCTCTGCAGTAACCCCTGCACCTGTGCCTCAGTGTTACCCTAATCCGACCACACGTGCCCTGCCTACCTGTGCACCCACACTCCCCACATTGGCTCTCTCACCTTGGCCACGGCCTCGCTTCCCACCTCTTCGCTCTGGGCCTCGCCGGTCAGATGCCCCTTCCTCGTCCGAGTCACGATCATCAATTTTCTGTTTCTGCTTCCACTTCTGATAGCTGGGAAGCCTCGTTAAGGAAGCTGCGTGAAGCCCCTGGGATGGGAGCAGGCTCCACCCCACACCGCCTCAGCAGACACAGGTCCGTTATCCCAACCGCCGCTGAAGCTGCTCGGCCCCGCCCCCAGCACACAGGTCCCACTCATTGTAGATGTTGCTGCTGAAGCTGCTTGGCCCCGCCCCTAACACACAGGTCCCATTTATTGGAGATGCTGCTGCTGAAGCTGCTCGGCCCCGCCCCTAACACACAGGTCCCATTTATTGGAGATGTTGCTGCTGAAGCTACTCGGCCCCGCCCCCAGCACACAGGTCCCACTTATCGTAGATGTTGCTGCCGAAGTTACTCGGCCCCGCCCCCAGCACACAGGTCCCACTCATTGTAGATGTTGCTGCTGAAGCTGCTCGGCCCCGCCCCCAGCACACGGGTCCCACTTATTGGAGATGCTGCTGCTGAAGCGGCTCAGCCCCGCCCCTCCATGGCCACGCCCCTCTGGATACAGGTCTCTCTTGTAGGAGCTGCTGATGTAGCGGCCGCTCTCTGTCTTAATCTTCTTCTTGTCTTCCTGTCCTGACTGTCCCACAAATCGCTTCTTCTTACGGTCCCTGCAGGAGAGGGAGTTGGGAGGGCTGCCGTGGAGGGAGACACCTGGAGTGCGGGCGCCCGCTCCCCGACCTTCTCATCGGGTTGTTGCAGCATTAAAGGACAGCAGTGCAGCCATGTCTGGCATGCAGTTGGTGCTCAATAAAGGCAGCTTTGGTTCCCTATCCCTCCTCACCTCTCCCTGGCAGTCCAGGTCTCAAAAGGGAGTGTGGCGGTCAGAGGACTGGCGCCAGCACTTGGGCCTGGCTCAGGGACAAGAGCCCCCTGGAGGCTTTAATCACCTGCCCCTTCCCGGCTGTGACCCTGGGTTGAGACTCGTCCATTCTCTAGACATTAGAGTCCTCCTGAACAAATGGGTCCTAAGCCCTGTCTAGAAAGATTTGCCAGCAAAAAGGACAGATGGGGTATCAAGATCCCTGTGGTGTGCAATCAAATCAAGGGGACAGGACAGCCAGAGACCATCACACCTACTGTGAGTGGTCACATGGGTACAGCCAGGTCATAATCCCAGTTGTGCAAGATCAGATGGGAGTGAGGACATCAGGGAGCTCACCCTGCCTGGTGGCATGGAGGTGGGGCTCACTCCTCACTCACCCTGGGCATGGAGGGAGGGGCAGTGGCTCACTCCTCACTGGCCCTGAGCAAGGAGGGAGGGGAGGCTCACTCCATCACTCACCTGGGGCATGGAGGGAGGGGCAGCTCACCCGCTCACTCACCCTGGGCATGGAGGGGTGCTCACTCCATCACTCACCTGGGGCATGGAGGGAGGGGCAGCTCACCTGCTCACTCACCCTGGGCATGGAGGGGTGCTCACTCCATCACTCACCACTTGAGCTGCTGGCGGCCCCTTGTGAGATTCTGGGCTTCATCCCCCATCAGGTCCAGGACAGCACCAGCTGCCTGCTGCTCGAAGGCTCCCGCTTCCCCGCCGACACTCAGGCTGCAGAGGGAGAGAGGGAGACACAATTGGGGTATGGGACCCAGCGGACCTGCCTGCTCCACCCAGGACCCAGCCAGCCACTCACCCCCGCTCGCTGTCAAAGTCCTTGGGCCGGTAGGGGATGTAGAATTCCTGGTCCCGCTGCCGGGCCGCCTCCCTCTGCCTCTTGGCTCCCCTGTCGGGTCCCGACCTCGGCCGCTTCCGGCCCAAGACCTCTGAGAAGACATCCTGGCAGAGTGTGGACTGAGTCACGCCTGCAGCCCCCTGGGGAGCCCCCCGGCCTCCCCACCCACCAGCCCGGACACAGTGAGGGGCCAGTGGTTTCCCAGGGACTTGAAAAGCTTCACTCTGCCATTTCTTAGCTGGGTGACAGTGTCTCCTGTGGGACCCTCAGTTTCCTCATCTGCACACAGAGCACAACCCCTGCCTCAGGGACTGGCAGAGGCAGGACAGCTGCATGAGGAGGAGAGTGCTGGTGGGGGAGACCCAGCTCCCCATTCCCGCTCTGCACCCCAGGCCATGCGACAGCCGGCCCTGCCCCTCTTTGCACCTGGCCTGCTCTGAACATGGACCCAACCGCTCTTCTTGGCTACCGAACCCTCTGTCCAAACAAAACATGAGAGAGGGACATCCTGGGGGACACGCAGGCCCAGGACCCACCAACCAGGTGAACGGGACACATCATGGTCCTCCCTCTGAGTGGAAATCCGCACGTCTCGCTGCAGAAGCCCTGATGTATTTGGTGGCTGGTGACATCCCAGACCCCACTGAGAGTGTCATGTCGTACACAGCTCCTCAGGCTAAAGATCTGGCCCCACAGTTTTAAACGAGGGATGGTGGACAAGAACCATGCCCTGACCCTGCAGGTGCAAAGCTGACTGCCTCCACCCTCCCTCCACAGCTCAAAGTGCCGGGGACAGCCCCATGGGCTGCTGGGACTTAGCCGTACCCCAGGTCCAGGGTCCCCAGGGTGGGGCCTGTACCTCCACACTCTCTCCTGCCTCCTCCTCCTCAGGCTGCTTCTCCTGCAGTGCTGGACGACTCAGGGCTGGGCCTACAGGGCCCTCCTCATGCTCCTGCCGTCCCTGCTGTCCCTGCTGGAAGCGGGCAATGGCTTTGCGGTCCTTCTGCCGCTTGGCGCGCATCACCTGGCTGCACAGGTCTCGGCTGGAGGCGTTGATCTCAAAGATGGTCTGTGGAGGAATACCCAGTCCTTTGCCCACTAGCCTCCTACCCCCTAACCCACCCTTCCCACTTGGTGGGCTCCCTGTGGGCGCTCTTCCCCACTGTCCAAGGTGGGCACTTTAATTATTCATACTTTATAATTAGACAGACAGACCCAGGCCAGGCACAGTGGATCACTTGAGGTCAGGAGTTTGAGACCAGCCTGGCCAACACGGTGAAATCCCATCTCTACTAAAAATACAAAAATTAGCCATGTGTGGTGGCGGTGGCCTGTAGTCCCAGCTACTTGGGAGGCTAAGGCAGGAGAATCACTTGAACCCAGGAGGCAGAGGTTGCAGTGATCCAAGATTGCACCACTACACCCCAGCCTGGGCAACAGAACAAGACTCTATCTCAAAAACGAAACAAAACAAAAACAAAAACACAAAGAAAGACCCAGGCTAGGCACCGTGGCTCACACTTATAATCCCAGCACTTTGGGAGGCTAAGGCAGGAGGATTGCCTGAGCCCAGGAGTTACAGACCAGCTTAAGCAACATGGCGTAACCTCATCTCTACAAAAAATACAAAAATTAGCCAGGTGTGGTAGCATGCAACTGTCGTCGCAGCTACTCAGGAGGCTGAGGCAGAAGGATCACTTGAGCCCAGCAGGTCAAGGCTGCAGTAAGCCATGATTGCACCACTGCATTCCAGCCTGGGTGACAAGCAAGGCCCTATTTCAAAAACAAAAAAAGACCTAAAGAGGGTGAGTAACCAGCCCATGGTCATACGCTAGGAAAAACCATAGCTTGTCAACACAAGTCCATTTGACTTCAAAGCCAGTGCTCTTAACCATGACACCCTCTCCAGCTCCTCTTCTGATGCTAGTTGGCTGGCAGGCTTACTCACCCCTGAGTAGGTCTTCCTGGCTTTTGTGCACCCCCTTCCGTATGTACAAGATGGGGTGCCTGATGGGAGTCAAGGGTTGGGAAGGAGGTAAGGAAGCTCAGGAAAGCCAGCTCTTCAGGCCTCTAACAGACAGGGGCCATGCCACTTCCCCCATGAGCCATCTGTAAGTGCTAAGCAAGGGCTGCCCCATGGGACCACTGTGGGCCAGCAGGGATGGTTCCAGGACAAGGGGCATCTCAAGGGAGGCTGTCAGAGCCAAGGCTGCAGGTTAAAGCACTATAAGCTCAGATGAAAAGCCCTGCTGGCGGCATGCTGGGGGTTAGGAAGGCAGCCTGCATCCTGGCGCCACCATTGTCACTGTTGTGACCCCAGGCCATGACCACCCGTCTCTGCACTTCACTGAGCCAGGACTCAGAGCAAGGTCTCTGCCCGGCTGCACTCACCGCCCGGGAGCGGTAGTTCTTGATGCTGTCCACCAGCCTCAGCCGCTGCAGCTCCTCCTCTGCGAAGCGTGAACCTGGTGGGGAAGCAGTGAGGTATGAGGCTGTGGGTGGGGTCAGCAGGCCCACCCGCCACCCCCTGGCCTGCAGAAGGACTCACTGAACAGGGGGTGCAGGCCCAGCCCTGCAAGGTCCAGCTCCTTGGCCCTCTTGATGGACTCGGGCGAGGGTGCCGGCCGGGAGCGCACGTACTGCTGCTGGGCGTTGTCGGCAACGCGGGCCAGGCCCCGTAGCTCCAGCGACGCCTCCAGGGTGCTCTGCAGGCCGCCGTCCTCCTCGTCCACCACGCTCTGTGGCACCCGGCCCAGCATGCCATCCACACCGGCCGCACCTGTACCCCACACAGCACCTTGTCAGGGGTCTTCCCATCCGGCCCGCCTGTCCACTGCCTGACCACCACTCCCAGGCCTCACTCTGGCCCCTGAATCACAGGTAAGTGGCTACAAAATAATCACTGCCAAGAACACCGGCACTTATGCAGGAGCTAGAGAGCCAGACACTTGAATACACCGACTGGGGTCAACAGACCGCAGTGGGCCGGCCAGCTGCCTGCTCTGTCAACAGCTCTGCGGGAGCACGGCTGCACTGCTCGCTTATTCGTGGTCTCCAGCTGTTCTTGCACCGCAGGGCCAGGGTTGAGGAGCTACCCTGGATCACACGGCCCACAGGGCCTAGAATATGTACTACCCGGCTCTAAAAAAAACTCTGTTGGCCAGGCACGGTGGCTCATGCTTGTAATCTCAGAGCTTTGGGAGGCTGAGGCAGGAGGATCACGTGAGGCCAGGAATTGGAGACCAGCCTGAGTAATGTAGTGAGGCTCCATCTCTACAAAAAACTCTAAAACTAGCTGGGCATGGTGGTGTGCACCTGTAGTCTCTCAGCTACGCAGGGGGTGAGGCGGGAGGATCTCTTGAGACTGGGAGCTCCAGGCTGCAGTGAGCCATGATAGCGCCACTGCACTCCAGCCTGAACGACAGAACAAGACTTTGTCTCTCTTTAAAAAAAGAAAAAGACAAAAACAAAACAACCAACAGCAACTTTGCTGACTCCAGCATTAGAACATTCGACATCCACAGATGAGAAAATGAGGCTCCCTTACTACCAGGACTGTCAAGTGAGTCAGTGCAGGGACAGGATTGAATCTAGGCAGAGTCCACAGTAGCAACAGCGACACTTATGGTGCTAAGTAACAGCAACAGCAGGGGCCGGGGATGCTGGCTCTGCTCCTCTACCTCACACCAAACCTATGAAGAAAGTACCTGTGTTCTTTTTTTCATCATGTTCTAACTTTTTACTGAAAAAAAACACAACAGTAAGCCAGGCACGGTGGCTCACACCTGTAATCCCCGCACTTTGGAAGGTAAGGCGGGAAGATTGCTTGAGCACAGGAGTTCATGACCAGCCTGGGCAACACAGTGGGACCCCATCTCTACAAAAAATAAAAAAATCAGCCAGGCATGGTGGCACCTGCCTGTATTCCCAGCTCCTCAAGAGGCTGAGGTGTGAGGATTGCTTGAGCCTATGTGGTCAAGGGTGCAGTGAGCTGTGATCATGCCAGTATGCTCCAGCCTGGGTGACAGAGTGAGCCCTTGGCTCAAAAAACAAAAAAAAAACAATGTAAGAAAAACACAAAAGCCAAGGGAAGAGTGTGATGGACCTCGTGGGCCCACCACAATTACCAACATCTGGCCAATCTTGCAAGAAAGGCACTGATGAGCCCATTTTAGAGATGAGGAAACTGAGGCTCCTGGAGGTTTAGAGATTTGCCCAGGGGCACATAGGGTCAGGGTCAAAAACTAAGCCCCACCCTGGGTCAGGAGCCTGCCCTCTTCCCATCTCTCCAGATTAGGCAGGTGCTGAGCTCTGCTGAGCCCCGGCTAGCTCTGGAACAAATGCAGGATGTCTCTCCCTAAAAGCTAACGGCACTGGCGGTGGTTCCCGCCTGGACATTGGCGGAGGCTCCTCCCCTCCCTCACGGGGCTGCGTGCTGCCTCTGGCCCTGAGCAGGCCACGGGTGCAAGGTCCGTTTCCTCCTGCTCCTGCCTGTCACCAGGTGGGACCTGGGGCTGTGACAGGCCTGGCACCTGGAAGGGGCTGTGCTCCCACCTCCCTCACTTGGCTTGAGCCACTGCGCCTGGCTGATTCCTTTTACTTTTTTAAAGAGATGGGGTCTTACTCTTGCCCAGTCTGAAATGCAGTGGCGTGAAATGAGGTGGGTGAATCGCTTGAGGTCAGGTGTTCAAAATCAGCCTGGCCAAGATGGTGAAACCCTGTTTCTACTATAAATACAAAAAAAATTTGGCCAGGTGTGGTGGTGGGCACCTGTAATCCCAGCTACTCAAGATGCTGAAGCAGGAGAATGGCTTGAACGTGGGAGGCGGAGGTTGCAGTGAGCCGAGATCACGCCACTGCACCCCAGCCTGGGTGACAGAGTGAGACTCTGTCTCAAAAAACATAAAATAAAATAAAAGTAAAAAAAATAAAAGCAATCAACCTGGGGTCAAACCCAGCCCCACCTCCTCCCACAGCCAAAACAGGGCGCCATGAACTCCACGGGGACCTCTAGCCCCACCCCAGCCTCCACTCACCTGAGGGCTCCTTGAGGGGCCGGGCGAGGGTGAGGGGGCGGCCCAGGAACAGATGCAGGTCCAGCAGGTAGGGGATTTCGTCAGGGGCCACCAAGGAATAGGCCGTGCCACTTCGGCCCGCTCGGGCCACACGGCCTGCAGCCAGAAGACGCAAGCTTAATTAAGCAAAGAACCCAGCCCCAGCACAAGTTCCACAGAAACCCGCGAGCGGGCGAGCGGCGCGGGCTGTCGGAGCGCCGAGGCCCGGCCATGGCCACCACCAGCACCACGGGCTCCACCCTGTTGCAGCCCCTCAGCAACGCCGTGCAGCTCCCCATCGACCAGGTCAACTTTGTAGTGTGCCAACTCTTTGCCTTGCTAGCAGCCATTTGGTTTCGAACTTATCTACATTCAAGCAAAACTAGCTCTTTTATAAGACATGTAGTTGCTACCCTTTTGGGCCTTTATCTTGCACTTTTTTGCTTTGGATGGTATGCCTTACATTTTCTTGTACAAAGTGGAATTTCCTACTGTATCATGATCATCATAGGAGTAGAGAACATGCACAAATACTGCTTTGTGTTTGCTCTGGGATACCTCACAGTGTGCCAAGTTACTCGAGTCTATATCTTTGACTATGGACAATATTCTGCAGATTTTTCAGGCCCAATGATGATCATTACTCAGAAGATCACTAGTTTGGCTTACGAAATTCATGATGGGATGTTTCGGAAGGATGAAGAACTGACTTCCTCACAGATGGATTTAGCTGTAAGGCGCATGCCAAGCCTACTGGAGTATTTGAGTTACAACTGTAACTTCATGGGGATCCTGGCAGGCCCACTCTGCTCTTACAAAGACTACATTACTTTCATTGAAGGCAGATCATACCATATGACACAATCAGGTGAAAATGGAAAAGAAGAGATACAGTCTGAAAGAACAGAGCCATCTCCAAATGTAAGGTCATGAGATTTATCTAGAGCCTTCATAGCATGTATTGGTTAGTCTTATTTATTTAAATATACAAATATTTTCACATTTCGAACTTAACCATGTATTTCTTTAAGAATACTTTTCAAGATAAATGACTCTTCATACTGTTACTTAATGGTGATATCTAGTAGAAGTACAGTCATGATTAAAGAACATAAATAAAGTCACTTCAGAAAGTATGTGCTGAATTCCTTCATAAGAATAATGCTTTATAGTTACAGGGAATTTTACAAGAAAGCTCTTATTATGGAATTGGCCAGCCTAATGATTTTCCAGGCCCACCCTCCCTCCTCCCTCTCTCCCTCCTTCACTCCAACCCTCCCCCCTCTCTCCTCTCCTTCCTTCCTCCCTCCCTCTTTCTGTGTGACTGTCTTAACCCCTGCCTTGTGTTCCAGCAGATTGTAAACACTCTGTATCCTCCATTTCTTTTTTGCTTGCCCCCTCCTCTTCTTAATTATTGCCAGTTGAACTCTTTCTTTCCTTTAAAGGCCTACTTCAAATATCACCTTTTCCATAAAACAGCTCCTTATTCCCACAGTGAAGAGATTAGTAATATTATAAAGATATAAAAAATAGCTAACACTTTGACAGTGCTCACCGTGTGTCAGGCTCTGTGGTGTGGACTTCACACCTCTGTTTCAGCCCTCCCTCATAGCAGTCATACAAGGCAGGCACTGTTTTTCTTACCATCTAACAGATGAGGAAACTAAGACTCAGAGGCTAAGTTTGACCAAGATTTCCCAGGTTGGCAGTAGAACTGGAATTCAAACTAGTGCAATCTGGTTCCAAGTCTGTGCTAAGTTGCCTTACAACCAAACATAATTTTTACTTTCTTTGAGCCACTGGGGTATTTGAAACTGCTGGGATGCTGCTTCATAAGGAAAGGCATTGAGACTCTGTATAGGCTCAGTTTCTGTTAGACTTCATCTGGTAAAATCTAAAGTTTCCATGAAAAAGAACAGACCAATCTGGAAGTCTGTGAGTTGAAGGAAAGGGGCTGATATGTTTTCCCTGAATGCAGGGTTTAGAGCAAGGGGTGACGTGACCTCCCTTATCCTGCAAATCTACCACCCTCCACTGTGTGGGCAACAAAGAGTGAATGTAGAAATGTGCATGCCTTCGCAAAAGATAGTATATTGTCTCTTTCCTACCATGTGGCTCATTGTATTTTATACCAAAATGGTGTTTTTCTCTTCGTATTTTCTATTACTGGTTAAGTGTTGAGAAATGTCATCTCAAACTGGATGGGATTCCAGACTTGAAATTGGTGTCTTTTCATTGACTGTTTTCTATCTCCAGGGTGACCACTTAATCTTTTAGTGGTCTCCCTGCTGTAAGAGAAAGTAAAGACAATTGTAGACAGCATCATAGAAGTTTATTCTAGAATGCTAGAAGGAGAATGAAAGCCTAGGAATCAAGATGCTGGACTCTCAGTGACCAGTTTGGCTCATCATTTCCGCACATCGCTTAATGTGTATGAGTCCCTCTCTGCAAAAGGAGAATCCTAATGTCTTCCCCATTTTAGAGACTGTATGAAGATCAAACGATTTTGTAAAATAGTTGAAAATATCAAATGTTATAAACGTGATAGTAGTAAATCAAATTCGACAAAAAATAATACACATATATATGTTCTGTTACTTCACTGAGTTTTTATGGGTTTTGCTCTCATAAAATGTCACTTTCCTCTTTTGGGTTATAGACATCTTAAATCAGAGGTTGTTGATAATGGTAAATATTCTTAATGTGTTTTCCCACCATTTAAATAATATATTTTATTTAAATTTTACATTCATATACTTTATAATGTCAAATAGTGATAGTCAGTAATAAGTCCCTCAAATGGCATTTAGATGCTCCTTGTGCATCAGTGGAGTATGTAGATTATTGAGATCCAAAAAAGGATGCTTGTGGAGCCCACTGGCTCTTCTGTTGGGGACCTCTCCATTGTCCTCTCCTCTGTCTGCATCATTTAGGATATGGGTTTGGCTGCTGAAACAAGGACCAAAATAACAGGAACTTAAAGTAGAAATTTATTTTTATGTTACATGTGGGACACTCACCTGTAAGCAGTGCATTAATAACATGGGGGCCCTATGGTATGAGAGATCCACACTCCGTCTTCCCTGTATAGATTACTTTTGCTCACATCCTATTGACCAGACCCTAATCACATAGCCACACTCGGGTGTACCATAGGTGCTGATGTGTCATCTTTAGCTAGACTTCCAAGCAACCAAGAGAAATTTCTTTTTCTGTGCAGGAAGGGGAGGAGGGCTCCCAGGTAACACTTGGCAGTCTCTGTCGTGACATATGTAGGACATTTCCCTGGGGCTGTTCGTTTTTGTTTGTTTGTTTGTTTGTTTTGAGTGAAGGATTCTCCAGTATTCTGCCTAGGACATACAAACTTGACTGCTGGGACCCTGGGTCTGGGCAGGGGAGGGGGGTTGAGGATATCACCTCTTAGAATACTGGCTGTCTTTGTATTATCTACATTTTCATTGCAGCACCATATCCCTGCCCTGCTTCAGAACTGTACAGTCTAGTGGCTACAGGTTTCTTGCTATATTACTAGAATGATATGCCTCATTTTAAAATTAAAATATGGGGCCATTTGTTTCATCTTGCTTCATTTATAATTACTGTTTTTTCTCTACCATTTTAAAATGTTATAATTCAAATGTAAAGGTAAGATATTTGGGAGGCACTAAGGAAAAAATAGCCTTATTTTATTAAAAGACAATGGAAAACGAGAATAACAGCTGCTGCACAGAGTCCATGAACACTGAGTACTACCTTGCAGGAACAGCTCAATGATAAAGTATTGTTTCCCAAAGTGCAGTGCATCCGGCATATGCTTTGGCTCTTGCCTTGGAGCTTTTCTTTTGGCACTATTACATAAAGTGTTAAAATGTGGCACTTCATTGATAAATTACTTCAGTTAATTTGAATACTATTTGGTTACTGTATGGATCACCTCTAAATCCAGTTATTTTGTTGCATACTTCATCTGGATCTAGCCTTTTCTCCACTTGCTTCTTTTTCTTCATAGCCTATATAATCTCTCTTATACCAAATGAAGTTGAAATATTCTGGCCTTCTACAAATATAAAAACAGCATGAGTTGTAAAAATACAGAATACCCTGAGTTGGTAATGTAACCTTACTGCAGTGTTGCTAAGAATAGCCTCTTCTTTCAC